AAAGGATAAATGTATCTTTTACAAAAGTGTCTAGATAGTAGAAAATGTCTAAATTGGCTAATATTTTATTAGAAAGTGTCTATACAAGTAATTATTCCAAATATAATCTAGATAAGTTTGCCACAAAATAAATGATGTTTAAGTGATCACTTAGTTTGGATGATTTGGATTTGAAATTTTATGCATAGATCACTTTTTTTTTTAATTAAGCTTCCGTAGCAAATGAATTCATCATATATCCAAGTACAAAGAAAACCAGCACGTCATTACTATGAATTAGCATTATTGAGAGGAAAACATGGTTAGGATTAAAACTTAAAAGCATTTCCGCTTGAAACTTTGTAAGAACCAATCTATATCGACACATCTTCTTTCTACGGGAGAAAGGGAGAAAGCATACGTACAGAAGAAAAATAAGAAAATAGGATTGACTTGGTTTAACTTAATTTTATAACATTTGTAATGAAGCAGGAAGAAATACTACAAGAAAACATGGTCATTTTCGACATTTTCAACGACTGTTTAAAGACTCATAAATACTCCAATTAACCTTAGATTTTTGTTATTTTTTCAGGTCAGTGAGTTCCAGAAGATCAAATTAAGTTGCAGTAAGCTCATTTCCCTGCATCAATTACAAAACATTTGCTGTTAGATTGTTAATATCGGATTTGTGTCGGAAAATACGAAAAATGTCTTCTTCTTTTTTAAGCTTGATTCACCTTGTGGTGGAAGATGAGGCAGAGGAGGAGTCGTGTTCTTCAACTTCTGATCTCTTCCTCTTCCTCCTTGCCGGAGTAATCTTCTCTTCTCCGACGAGTAACGACTCCGTCGCCTGCAAGTGAGTTTGCAACACCAACCGAGTCAACTCAACTTCCATTTCCAACCTTCTCTTCTCAGCTTCCCACCTCGCTGCTTCTCGAGCTTTAATCATCTCCATCTCCGCTAATTCCGAACGAAGCAGCGAATCAGACAAGACCCGTATGATCGTCGACAGTCGTGTCGAGGTTGTCGAGTCAGAGCTTTGGTTCGACTCTGTCTCAGAGTCAGAGCTCGGGTTTGACTCAGTCTCTGTGTCGGAGCTATGAGTATCATCAGACCCACCTTTACCTGATAAGTCACCGTCGGTTGTTTTATTCTCCGACAAGGTTTGTCTCCGGCGAAATCTCGCCAACTTACCCATATGATATGAAGTTACGTGAGTGATCGTTTTTGTTAGTGGAACAATTATTTTTGTGGTTTGGTTTTGATTCTTCAACTTTTTTTAAAAGCGATTTAGACTACTAAAGTAGTTCCACTTTCGCGATAGGTTCACTTTAAAAGTTTATACTACTTTATTTAAAAAAAAATCTGTATCTATTAAATTCAATAAAAGATTATTCGATTACATTAGATCCCATTCTTAAAATGCTAATGAGCTAAAGTTAATAATTAAAATATTGACGTTACAGAAAAACAAAGATGCTATGATTATCTCAAACAAAACATATAGAACCCATAAAGTAGATAATTAGTTATTCAATTGTTAATTAATCGTAATTTGTTTTCCTCTAAACACACGCGCACAAAAGAACACGCGTGAACCAATATACAAAGCATGAGCCAGAGATTGATGAACACGCGCTTGTTTTGCGAGTATAACTTGTTAGCGTGTCTACCGGTTTTTCATAGTTTTGGTTTCGATTGATTCCTAA